CAGGTTCCTCAGGAAGTTCCAGTGACATAAATCCCTATGGAGTTTGTTTACCAGGCATCACACATAGTGGGTGTACTGAATGGGGTAGTGAGTCCTCTAGCGGAAATAATGGACAAAGTGTAGGAGATAACGGTCAGACAAATAAGCAAGCCAGTGAAACAGCCGATGCAGGTAGTGATACAAAGAGTGGTGTTCAAGGTAAGAGACCTGAGTTTGGGAGATAGGGAAAGTGATTGCTCTAAACCCGGTGAAGACGTCATCGCCAATAGTAGGAAAGATGATCTCTCTACACCCAGTACACCTGAACCTAAACCTAATCCAAACCCAGATCCAGCAGGTTCCTCAGGAAGTTCCAGTGACATAAATCCCTATGGAGTTTGTTTACCAGGCATCACACATAGTGGGTGTACTGAATGGGGTAGTGAGTCCTCTAGCGCAAATAACAAGGAGGTTGGCGAAGGTAAAGGCGATGGACCCAATGGTGGTGATGGTGGCGACGGTCATGCACAAGAGGGTACCAATGGTGTTACTGATGCTGCAAACGTAACAAAAGAGAGCGCAGAAAAAATAAAAGAAGCCTTGAAACAAGCTACAGATGTGAATAGGGAAGCAGATGCAGCTGTAAACGCAGCAAAAGAGAATAAAGAGGAAGTAATAAAACAAGAAAAAATAGCAGTAGAAGCTCTGGAAAAAGCAAAAAAGGCAACCACAGTAGCGGGAGTAGCAAAAGAACAGGCGAAAAAAGCAGTCGAATCAGCAGAAAAATCAAAGGAGGAAACAGAATTAGCGGAGGAAGCAGCAAAAGCTGCGAAGGAAGAAGGAAAGGAAGTAGAAAAAAAAGCACAAGAAGCAGTGGAAAACGCACATGCAGCGCAAGCACAATTAAAAATAGCCGAAGAGGAATTGGAGACAGCTAAGGGAGCCACATCGATGGAAACATTTATACAGGCTAAAACGAAAGCTTTTGCGGCGATAGAAGAAGCAGTTAAGAAAGCCCAGGCAGCCGAATCTGCAGCCAATGAAGCAACAGACAAAGCAAAGAACGCGAAAAAAGCTGCGGAGGAGGCACAAAAAATAGCAGAAGAATCGGCCATAAAGAAAAAACACAAAATTATAGAAATTGTGGAAAAGTACTCCGAAGAAGGTCACAATGAAGTCGATAATGACGAACAGGTTCTGAGCGAAATTGAGGAACAGGGAAACGAAGAAAAAGACCAAGGGGAGGAAGAAGAGGAACAGGAAGATGAAGAAGTGAACGATACATCATCTGAAAAGGAAGAAGAATATGACGACATCGACATTGAGGACGAGGAGGAAGAAGAAGAAGAAATTGAAGAACAGGAACAAGACGAAGAAGAGGAAGCAGGGGAAGACAAAGGAGAAGAGACGGAAAAAGCAGAGTCAGACGACGGAGAAGCTGGCGAAGGAGAGACGAACATAGAAGAGACGAACACAGAAGAGACGAACACAGAAGAGACGAACACAGGAGGCACGAACACAGGAGGCACGAACACAGAAGAGACGAACACAGGAGGCACGAACACAGAAGAGGAGAAAGAAGAAGAGGAGAACGCAGAAGAGGAGAACGCAGAAGAGGCGAACACAGGAGGCACGAACACAGAAGAGACGAACACAGGAGACACGAACACAGAAGAGACGAACACAGGAGACACGAACAAAGGAGAGGTAGAAGAGCAAAAACAAGAAGGAAAGAAAAAGGCAGATAACCCGCCCCCTAGTGACACTGCGCCTCAAGCCAAAAATCAAAGTAAGCAATCCCCGGAACAGGCTGGCAAACCACTAAGTGATAGCAAAGCCCAAGCGCTCCTCGCAGACAACAGTAAAAATATTATGGACTTAAAAAAAAAAACTCACGGATT